AGTGCAATGCCCTTAAAACAATGTGATATCCTTATAAAGGTTCTTGTCGACTAACAGTCAGGCTATAGCATTCTGTATCAATGCAGTTTCCAAAAAAGTTTTAAAGGCACTCACTTAAGATGCATTGCTGCAGGCTCAGTATGGGAAAGGTGTGAGTCATCTTTAATATCTATTCCTTCCACTTTTAGTATGAAGGAAAAAAAATGATTGCAAGTTAACATTTTGCTCTTTTCATGAATTTACATCTTTGAATTTCCAAACTTCCTTGGAAAGTAGGCTTACCTGTATACAGTACTGACAATTATAAAACCTAAATAATACATGTATACCTTGTTTTAAAGGTGTCAGCTGTTATCCATTAATTATGCCATTACTTTATGATGTAGGATAAGGAGTTGCAGAACATGGGGGCCAAGTTAAAAGAGGGACCATCTAGAATCTCTACATAGTCACAAGAGGACTAAGTCCAATCTCCTCCCCTTGAATTCTGTTGACTCTTAACTAAATCCAGGCAGGTGCTGTTTAATTGAGAAGATTCCCGTGCATAGGCTGTTTAGCAATATATCAGTTTAATCCAGGGATGTCAAACTTGATTTCATTGAGGGCCGCATCAGGGTTGTGTTTCACCTTGGGGGTGGGCCTGGCCAGATTGGGCCTGGCCAGATTGGGCACACCCAACTTGATATCACTAGTGTTGGGGACGGCTGTGGTGGTCTAAGCCCTCTGCCAGTGAAAACGGGCTCCCAAGCTGTGTTTTCAGCTGCGACTGCCTCTTGCAACCCTCTGCCAGCAAAAATGGAACGGGGGAGCACGCAGCCCTCACGACCTCTGTTTTCAGCTGTGATGGCCTCCTGCAAAACATTTTCACTGGTAGAGACACCACGGGCCAATCCTTCACTGTTTCCAGGGGGCCAGATCTAAGCACCCCACAGGCCGAATCTGGCCCCCAGGCCTTGAGTTTGACACCCCTGGTTTAATCAGTTTCCTTCATGTATAGCAGGGGTGTCATGCCCACCCTAGTTCCACAAAGAGAACATCATGTGACAGCAATGTGACACCCATAATGTATGGACTTGCTCTGTCGTATCTGACCATGTAGCTTTAATTTGATCCATTCTAGTTCTACCAACATTTGGCAATGAACCATTAATCAATAGGTGAATGCCCCAATAATTCCCCAATAAACTTAGTATGAAACTGTTAGAATACACTTATATCTTGTCAGAAGATACGTCATTTATCAAGAAAATTAAGCTCCTTAGAATAGATATGTATTTTATATTACCCATGTCCATTTTAGGAAAACAAATTCAATTCATTTCATCATTTCCTTCTGTACTTTATTCTTGATGTTCCTGTTTCCGGTCTGAGAAAAGGTAAGGTCCAGGTTGTTATCTGCTGTATATTTTACATCTGTGCCCATTAAAATATATTTTCAGTTTCAATAATTGAATTCAGTTTCAATCATTCGATTGATCAGTTTAATCAATCCCACATGTTTACAGACTGCTTCTCAATGACACAATTACACCTTGAGGCTAGAGAATCACTATTATGGATCCTAATTCATCACACCAGTCCTGCTGATACAATTGCAGCAGGTAAGACATTGTTTCTAGCTTACAGGATCCTCATGAAAAAACAGCACTCATTCATCTTCCAATTTATGGGAAAGTTACATAACTACTGATTGTACTGATCATATGTCATATCCCTTGCCCTCATCAGCCCTCACAGGCAGAACAATTAACCTTTTTTGTTACTGTTTGTCTTTTAAAGTAAAACAGGAGAGAAAATACAAGAGAAGCAGACATAAAAAAGAGAAACATAAATAGATGAAGTTAAAATGAATTATAGGCTGCATGTGGCATTAAAGATGGAAGAGGGTCTGAAAATATTTGGCTACTGATTTAAGGTCATATTGCAATAAATTGCCCTTGTAATTAAAGGATTATTGCCACAAATAATTCGACGTTTGGAAAACAACATAAAGAATTAAGCACAGAAAATAATCCTGACAAATTGTGACAAATGGTGACAAATTGAAACCCCTTTTTTGGATCTATCGCCCTGAATTCAGTAGAGCTCATGATTTCAATATTAATGATTTCAGAGTCACTGGACTCTACATATCCATTTATAGATTCCAATTAAGTAATGCAAGGCTGTTAAATCATACCTCCTACGTTACACTCAGGGTTTTTAGTACATTTTTGGCTCTTACAGAGGTGATACTATGAGAAAGTAGAGAGTTGTATTTTATGCTTCCCCTTAATATCAAACCACTTTATCTCCATAAGCCATTCATGCCCATGTCTCTATCTCCGATGTGCTTTCTGCTTTTCCTAATCTCATAGCTGAACTGCATGATTATTTAGTCTTGAGATTACAGCAGGCAAAAATCAGTCTGTGACCTAGCCCTTTCTTCACCATGCCTTAAGGCAAAATGAAAGCTTATGTAAACCACAACATCTGAATAAGAAAAGGAATGGATTGATTTAATCTCTAAATACATAGGAGTTTATTACAAGAAGCACGTAAAAAAGGAAGATAAGAGGAAAGAATGGGTGTTTGTTCTTGGTCCAATATATTCTGGTTTATTACTATTACTATTTTTATTCCTGAAACAAACAGGCATTATTCCATAAGAGAGACAGCAGTCCAGTTGTAGGCACACATCATAGGAATATATGTGGTTCAGACCATACAAGAGCTTATTCTGGGATTTCTCCATGCATCTTCTAGTCAAGCCCCAGGTGTGCATACTATTAAGGCTTAGAATTGAAGTCCTTCAAGGTCTCATCAAAGCCTTGCCCAAAAAACAGCCCTGCTCCATCTGGCTAAGTGTCTACTTCAGAAAGAGCTGAAGTGAGTTTTGCCAGGGACGGTGCCTTAAGTATACAAATTCCTTTCAAATTTCCAGCGAATTTCCAGCCTCTTCTCTGAGCTTTTAAAACTTACTGAATGAAACCCCCTGCATGATATTATACAACCACCTGAGCAATACCTTTCTTAGAAGTAAACACCAGGTGATCAACAATGAATAGGCGGTCGAGTTCTCTGAGGTGCAAATCAAACAGAAATTGGGGGGAAATCAATAAGCCAAGATGTTTCCACCGAAAGGATTTAGAATCATTTCAAACAGGGATTTAAATGAAATCAATTAGTTTGTGTTACAGTAGGAGTCCATTTTTACCTAGAATTCTGAGATAAGGGCTGACCTTTATTTTTGGAGAATAATGTTTGGATATTAATGGGCTCTGTCTTTAAACGAAATAAAATAGACCAATTCTATGTCAGACTAAGAGCAAAGTAAAGGATATTCTGAAAGCTTCCATATATCTCTTCTGAAACCACTGAGCACCATAGATAGCTTCTAATGCATTGTATGCAGTCTATACACACCAAGGTCAACAAATTCAAATCCTGATGGAGGATTTGAACCGCATAGAATAATGTCTGGCTACCAATGCCTGATAAATCCCAGATAGGATGAAAGCAGCCATGTAGTGCTTCCTGTGGCCAATATAACTAAAAAATCCACGTAGGTTACATACTGTGTAAAAACTCTTTTATATGGGGGCATGACATAATATAAAATCTGTATCTCTGCGCTCTGAGTGCTTCGGGGAAGGTGGACTTTATACCATTTGGAGCTCTTCTAAAGAAAGAAATTGCTTTTATTGTAATGTACTAAAACAGCAGCATTAACTGGTCTTTGATGTTTATTATGGGAAACATTCCCCCTTCGATTTTTAAAAGCAGCATAAAACTTTGGAAAATCTTTTTTCCCCACAGCAGTGAACTAAACCAATTAACCATGATTTTTCCTAATTAACTCAAAGAGCTGACTTTTATAAGTTGGTTGCATTGCAATACTTTTATATTTCAAATTAGACAATTTCAAAGCTCTGCTTTTATGGCTTGGATCAAGCCAGTCCCCTTAAGTTTTTTTTGATGGTTCCATGTCTGTTCAGTAAAACTCTGACACCAGGGCAACCATCCAGAGGAAAGAAAGCAGAAGATAACACGCATAGCAGAATCGCTAATGAACACAGTGAACAAAGGGTGTGATTATCTTGCTCACTGTATAAAGAGTTTCCCTGCAAATGCTGAATGTAAGCTTAGTGGGAGGCAAAGGTGTTCTTTGTGGTGGGTGGGGTGGCAATAAAGGTACCCAATCCCCCCCCCCCCCCCGTCTTCAGGCCAAACATGGAAGGCAAGCAACCTCTCTTAAAGACAGACTTGGTTTTTCTTTGTAAACAAGCCAGTTCTGGGTTTCAGGTACATGATTTTGACCACCATGTCTGCAACAAAATTGATTTTTTTTTCAACAGAGTGGGCCTTTAAAATAAATATAAAACATTTTATTTTATTTATTTAAATTTCTGTGCCGCCCATCGCTCTAGCAAGAGATTCTGAGCAACTTAAAGAACAAGATAAACAATTACAGGAATAAAAACACTAAATCATCATTAAAACATTACAGTTAATATTAAAACAGAAGAAAAGAGCCAATTTGTAGACAGGATGGAGGTGGGTTCTTCTACTCATCTACGAGCCACCTCCAAAATGGGATGCCCTCATCAAAATGAGACGGTTTGACAAACAGAAACAAATACACACAATCCTTATCTGACAATTCCATATCAGCTCATATGTCCACTCTTTCAATATTTTTATTTCAAACTCTCTGTACATGTGTACTACATGACATTCATCTAAATTTTACTTATTTGCAATGGTAACCCAAAATAATACTTTTCTAATTTTGCTAATAAACATGTATTCTGCCTTTCCATTTTGATTTCATGTCAGTTTGGTTATTTATTCAGATTGCCTTACACAGACTCAAAGCAAGTTGCCCCCCCTCCAGTTCACCTAGCTATGAGGCAGCTAAAACAATGGATTTTCTTATACCCCTTAACACACACACACACACACACACACACACAAACACACCTATTTCATCAGGGGAGATATAAATAATTTATATGTACCTTCCTTTGACTTGTGCATTTCCTCCAAAGTTGTCTGGGCACAGTAGACCTCACGGATCTGTATCCCACCTCCACAGAGTGCTGCATGTTTATCGAGTCGAGGGTCCTGCCTTTCCAACAGGAGAGAAACATCACATTCCTTCCATTCAGAGGTTTTCCATGAGTATCTTGTAGAGAACAAGGAATAGAAAACGTTTATGTAAAGTCCACTCACAAAGAGATCCATTTAACAATTTTTCAAATAAAAAAACTGCAAGACTAGACGTTATTTTTGAAGCATAAATGCCATACTTTTTAGATGAATTTACTCCATCTACATTCCCTCAAGAACATTCTGAATATCTCAGGATTTCCCTAAATTGAAAGAAACCCAACAGGAAGGGAAAATACCCCGGTAAATATTAGTAACCAAAGTTTAAAGTATTATTTAAAATAAGAAAACCCATAGAGATTTTTTTAAATGACAGAGAAAAGCAAGAAGGATTATGTGTACAATCTCACAATTAAGACCTCTCACATTTTTGTTTCGATGCTGCTGTCTCAAGTAGGTCTGTGTTTCATTTGATGTGTTTCATTTCATTAAACATGACACAGCTCCAACTAGCCATTCTGTGCTGAGGCAGGACTGGGCCCTAGTCACCTCCTTCCATGGCCATTTCATTCATCCTGGGCTGCTGGGCTGGTGAAAAGTTATACATTTTCTTTTTCTCTCTTCACTGTAAAACTATGGATATTTCTTTTGACTGGGATGATATAAGGTTCCTACCTTGAAGGGGCTAGGCTACAAGACCGCTGAGGTCAGTTCCAGCCCTATAATTCCATGTTCTACGTTTTTTTTCTATTTCTTCCTCCCTGGGTGAATTTGAAAAGAATTCCACCATTCACGGGAAGAAGAATAAACAGCAGTGTATGGGCAGACATAGAAGCTCTCAAGAACAAAGAGCTGGACAAGGCTCATAACAAAGGTCTTCAATGAAACCATAAAATATGGTCCTAAAAGATTTGCCTACAAGAAAAGATCTCAGTTCTAAAACGTTTTCCCCTGGCCCATCACTTGAACTCTTGCCTTGAACTCTTATGATTTCTTTTAGACTCTGCAGTCTTCAACCTGATTTATATAAAGGGTAAGCCATTGAAAACCAGTTTCAATTGGAGCAGCATATAAACCACTTCCAACTAAATATTCCAATTAAAAAAAAGAAGGGGGGGGAGAGAGACAGCTTTAGGCCACTGTGGATTGGAATATCAAATTGGACCAACAGACAAGACTTCATACTGGTTGGAATGAATTCTTTGGGTTAGTTCGCTAAATGTTCCCTTAGCTACCTGGTACTAGAACTACAGGTACTAGAACTGTAGATTTTTAAAAAATATCAGAAAGTTGGCTTGGGGACGTACTATAAATATTTACATCTTATTTTGGAGCTTGTTTTCTTCCAAGGTAAGTTCATCAATTACTTATTTGGGTTTTGACTTTTCCCAGGAAATTCCAATTTTATCCAAATGTGCCTAGAATTGTCTAGGTGTGTGTATCACGGAGAGAATGAGTGAGAGGGAGGGAGGGAGAGAATAGCCTATCAGCCTTCCTTATTTACTGAAAGTCCAACATTGTAAGTCTATACAAAGAGGGTAATTTACTCAAAGAAAGGAAAAATTACAGTGACATTTGCTTTCTATAGTTTTACAAGCAAAGTGACCCTCAGAAACACTTGCATTATTTTCCTCTTGTTTTATTCTCACAATGCACCTACTGGCACTTCCACGGTTTCTTGGCATCACACAGAACTGCTGATAAGCGTGAAGTCAGTGTCTCATGTATGCTGAGAGAGCTTTTCCTCTTCAAGTCTGGATGCCTGCTTACTTATATTCAATAGCTTTTATTTTACTGCTTTTAAAGAGATGAACATTCTGGTTTTCAGCTCATGTTGAGTACAGTATAGCGGGATTCTGAATTTGCAAAAATTATTAACTTAAAAAATATCCTTGGCAAGCTCTCACTTCAATGATAGTGTTTTTAAATAGCAGTAGCTGTGATCGAGTGACTTCTTTTGGCATACAGCCCTCTAATCCACAATCCTTTTTTCTTCTTTTACTTTTATCTGCTTGTGATTTCTAACTTTCCAAAAGTAGAAGATCAAGTCAGCGAGAATTCAGTAATTCAATAGAAAGTTGAGGTCCAAAGCCACAGGCAGGGATAAAGTTTAATAAATTTAAAACCTCATCGCTTTTAGATAATAGTTTTTAGATAATAGCCTGATAGTTATGTTACACATCTAGTTCTATGCCTAAACATTATGTACTAAACATCTACATATGTGTTTCTTTCATATTTTGTTATGTTCTACTATTAAACTTACTTTCTCTTTTTAAGGACAATGACCAGGAAGACAGATTGTGCAAAAACTTGATATTATGAATGTTTTAAAAATTCTGAGAGCACTGAAATGGCAATGAAAGACCATAGACTGAATTCTTCATCCTTCATTTCCTCCAATATATTCCCCCCCTCCCCATCAATAGCCTACAAAATACTGAGGAAGATCTATCTCTGAATATCTACCTCGCACCGGCAACACATTTATTTGATACATAAAGTTGGGTATCAGGGGTGGGATTCAACCGGCATTACTACCGGTTTGGTAATTACTTTTTTTGGAATGGGAAGACAACTTCTGAGGGTGTTTCCTACATGTCTCCGCAGCAGATTTTTAACAGGTTAGGCAAATGGCTCAGATAGTCAATACCTAAAACCACTGAGAATTTAACAATTCATGACAATACTTTAAAGTGTGCTTGGAAGTGTGAAGATTTTCCAGTCTCCATATCCTGGGAGCCAGGTCTTTGCATCTGTTAGTAATTACCACTTGGGTCAACTTTGGCATACTTTTCATGTAGAACATTTTGCATAGTCCAAGTTGGAATGTGCTCAAGGCACCCAAAATGCTGCAAATCAATTTGACTCATGAACAGCTATATTCAACTGTACTCCTCTCTAGAATTGTCATCTGGGAAGCTAACAATAGCTGAAAACCAGAGAGTGTGCATACACACACACACACACACTTTCAGGGGAAGCGCAAACCATCAAAGACAAACTGAACTTCATTTCCAAAGCCAGATATTACTCATTTCTTTGCACTCATTTAACTCTTTGCCAAACTTAGACGATGCTCCAGAGCAGCGATCACCAACCGGTGGGCCATGAGAAAATTTTGGTGGGCCGCAGAGAAATCTCACCCCCAGAGCACCCCCCCCAAAGCAATTAATCCAGGCTGTGCAGAAACATAAGGCTGTGCCACCCACATGGCCCACGGGAACCCTCCCCGCCCATTCACTCCTTATCCGGCAAACTTGCCTGCTAAATTGCTATTTTTCATTTTTCCGACCCTCATCTGTTCTGCTGTGCTGGGAAATTTAGATTAGCTAGGAAGCAGGAAATGATTGGATTTCTTGCTTTCTAGCTAGTCTTTAGATCTTCAGCTCTGCTTTTAAGCACAGCCAAACTTCCCTTAGGACTGAAGGTTCTATTATTCAGTGCGGACTCATGGCAAGCAAATTTGAGAGACTGAGCTAGCCAATGGCAGATAGATAGAACACTGAATGATTCTGAGAGCAACTCAATCTGCCTGCTTGCTTTGCCTGATTTTGGGTAAAAGTTGCTCTTTTTTAAATAAAAAATTCAATATTTACATACATGGTGTGTTGTGAGTTAATTTTGTGAGTTTGCTTGCAAGCAAATTTTATGAGTTTGCTTGCTAGCAAATTTTATGTGACAGACTGAACTAGCCAATGGCAGATAGATAGATTTCTGAATGAATTATTGATTCTGTGAGCAACTCAATCTACCTGCCTGATTTGCCTAATTTTGGTTAAAAGTTGCTCTTTTTTATAAAAAATTCAATATTTATATAAATATTTATAATATTTACATACAAGCCATGGCCAGCCAGTCACATGACCACCAAGCCACACCCACAACTTAGGCCATGCCCACAAAACTGGTTAGTGGTCCCTGGGATTTAAAATTATGAGTTTGGTGTTCCCTGAGGTCCAACAGGTTGGTGACCCCTGCTCCAGAGTATTCTGATACAAAGATACCTATAATATTTCTCAGCCTGGGTATGTTGTGAAGGCGATTCCCACTGTAGGGATCAGACCTGCCATTCTACTCTGCAGATTGTCTATTACAGCAGAATTCTGCAGATTTGATGGTGCTTTATCTCACCCTTCTTATACAGGTAGTCTTCCACTTGCAACCATAGTTGGGTCCCACGTTTCCATTGCTAAGCAAGACAGGTGAGTTTTGCCCCCATTTTATGACCTTTCTTGCCACAGTTCTTAAGTGAACCATTGCAGTTGTTATGTTAGTAATACTGTTGCTAAGTGAATCTGGCTTCCCCATTGAGTTTGTTTGTCAGAAGGTCACAAAAGGTTATCCCTTGATCCTGCCTGGTACAGTGCTACTGTCATAAATATGAACCAGCTTCCAAGCATCCAAATTGTGATCACATGACCATGGGGATAGTGCAACAATCATACGCGTGAAAAACTTTTTTCACACTTAAGTGACTTTTTTCAATGCCATTGTAACTTCGAATGATAACTAAATCACTTTGCAAAGGAGCAAAGGCTGACTCTGCTGGTATGGACATGTCCAGAGAGCAGCACCTTTCACCATGGCCAAGACTACCTACTAACTAGAAGTCAATGGCCGGCAACCGCGCTGGCATCCAAAACACAGGTGGCAAGACACCATCAACAAAGATATGCAAGCTGTGGGCCTGCACCCCGGAGGCACAGCTGACCGTGCAAAGTGGTGTTCAATGATCCACAAAGCGGACCCTACTCCTGCGGGAATACGCTAGGAAGAACAAGATTGTAATTTCGAATGATCACTAAACAAATGGTTGTAAGCCAAGGACTACTGGTAGAATTATTTCGTCTGAGCCACTTCCTGAATGCAATCTAGCTATTTTAGACTCTAAAAAAATGTTCCTGCATTTCTCTTTGAAGGTCATCTTATTTTCTAGACTAAAAAAAGATAAAAAACTTCCCAAGATGCATGGAGGACAAGGGTTTGAGTATCTGTCTCATATTCAGAAAAACATGCATGGATCCACTCTTTTGTTCGTCATTAGACCAAAAGGTGCCAACCATAGGGCCAACCCTAAAGCCACTAGAGCAGGGGTGGGATTCAAATTTTTTAACAACCAGTTCTGTGGGCATGGCTAGATGGGAGTGGCTAGGTAGGTATGGCCATGTGACTGCGTGGGCATAGCTTCTTCTTCTTCTTCGCAGCACCCCCCCCCCACACTCCATTTAGAGGCCTTCTGGACCTCAGGGAAGCCTCCTGGGCAAAGCAGTAAGACAGCGAGGGGAATCCCGGCACAGCTGATCATAGAAAAAGCTGATTGTCGGGAGCGGGGAAAAATACCTTAAGGAGTGACTAGGCAGGGAAGAACGCAGTCCGCGATGTTGGGCATGTGCGATATGTTGCACATGCACAATAAGGATTGACTGGGAGGGGAGAGGTGGATGGAGAGGGGCAGGGCCAGCCAGGGGCATGATTTGCCAGTTCTCCGAACTGCACAGAATCATAACAACCGAACCTGTCCGAACCGGTAGAATCCACCCCTGCACTAGAGGAACCAGAAGATCAACTCTGGTTGAAACAAGAGAAATGTAATGGTATGGGATACCTTGGGCAAGGCTGAAGGTGTTTTCCTCCACCATCAGTATTGCAGGCTTCTCTTTCTTCAGTTTCAGGACATTCCTTCCCAGCTCCAAGAGCCTCATGTATTATAATCCTTCTTCTTCTGCGGAATCCTGGTGAGAGATCCCCTGAGTAACAAGTCTTTGAACAGGAGCTCCAGGAAGACCAGCCTGATGTTTCACAGTCTTTAGGAATAATGCAGGAGCGAAAGGTCAAAGGGATGGCTTCTTGCATACAAAGGCTGTGATAAGAAAGTGTTTTGTTAGAAACAAATCCTGAAGAGTTGTCACTGAAGAGCAGGAAAAAAAAACCCACACACTACAATCACTCCATAATAATTAGATTCCCTCCATTACATTTTATCAATCCCCTAATTTGTTATCTTTTGCCAAGTAGTAGAAGAGATTAAGGAAACCAAAGAGACATTGCAGAGTAAGAATGTACATGTGGTTCAATTAAAAGACTGTTTTAAACTAATATCAGAGCATGGCAACATTGAAAGGATTCCAATATTACTATCTCATTGATTTAAGGCTGCTTTTTGGAAAGATGAAGTATGTCTGGCCATGCAAATGTCAATTCAGAAAATGAGTCTTCCCCTAATAACTTTCTTCTTCAAATAATTAAGATTGGGGTGTAAATTTCTTGAAATGAGAGACAAGCTCAATAGCCTCTCTCTGTATAATGTCTCACGATGCCACAATTTTGTAACAGGATCATAGCATTTAATCACATATAATGTGAGGTTAATTACACAAAATGTAGTATAAAATTACAAAGGTGCTAAAGGGTCATTTCTGCTTTGTAAACTGGAAATTAATGTAACTGATATTTGCCACATAAAAATGTAAAAGCAGATCTTTCAGAGCTTGTTTGAAAATATTATTATTATCATCATCATCATGGTTCATTGCAAAGCCAGTCAGATGTTTAGGTTGGATTTGGCCTATTTATCCCCCGTCAACTTCTTCATTTGGTCATTCTTGCAGGCCAGGTTGGTCTTTCCAGTACTCATCAAGCCTACGTTAATGCATCTTCTTCACTATCCATCAGATGTTCTTCCTTTCCCTCCCCTCCCTTAGCCTCCGATGTAGAGGCAACATTCCATGCCCAGCCATTTTCCTTGGTAAGTAGAGTCTGTCAACATTGCCGCATGGATGAATGATACATTGTCATTATTTTTCTGATGTTCCTATCCAAGGCTTTTAGTTTTGAGTCCAATATACTATTCCAGCAGCGGATATAATGACTGAAATTTCCCAGGTATCAATTGCCTTCATGGTATTTCCTCCATTGAGTTTGGACTTTAATATCTTCTTCACTCTTGGGAAATATTCATTTCTAACTTTCTTCTTGACTTCAAAGTGCTTGAAGTTCTCAGCTTGAATGATATTATTATTATTATTATTACTATTGGAGATGGGCATTGCAGCATGGGTACTCAGCAAAGCAATCGCTCCTATTCATATCCCTGTAAATAGCAATACGACAAAGAGATACAGCAGTCTTTGTTTTTGTTATTGTTGAGAGTGTCCATCATCACCATTTTCTTCCATTCTTTTGCTTCAAGGCTCAATAACTCCATTTCAGACAAAGGAAGGAAGCAGTGATTGGTACTTGCATGGCCTTGAACAAGCATCTTCACCTACTGAAAATGAGATTTGGAATACATCTTTCAGGACCCTCAGTGGAGAAATTACTTTTGATAACGAATAATTTCCATCACTCCAAAAAGTAGAACGAAAATAGTAAAATGCTACATCCAAACATATATTACAGAAAAGAAAAGATAAGTTGTCACTTCTATCAACCATCTTATTATATAATTATATACCTGACTCTGTGGTTTCTTCCCCAAACCCCAAAAACTTTAACCTTAGACTGTCTACTATTGACCTCACCCCTTTCCTAAGAGGTCTGTAGGGGGCGTGCATAAGCGCACCAATGTGCCTACCGTCCCTGTTCTATTGTTTCTTTTTATTTTTATTATATGTATCCATTTCATGTATTCATAACCATGTTTATACTTATACCTGTTATCTTGTAAGCAATTGACAAAAATAAATAAATAAATAAAAATAAATAAATAGCTGTATCATTCAGGATCATGGACTGGCAATGTGCACCACAGAACAATTGAAATTATAGTTTTATTTTATTATTGGTGTTCCAGCTAAGTGGGGAGGGATCCACTCACAGACTCATACCTCACTCCTATATGATAGCATAATATATTGGGTTGATTCCTGGGCCAGGGACTTCTACTGATTTCGTACCTTTTGCCCCAGTCTGATTCTTTTTTTCAAAATATAAGGATGGAGTGGTCAAAGGAGATTATTAAAGGAATCATATGACTGCCATTATCTAATTAGGTATCTACATGCCTAAACTGATTAAGTAACATTATCATAATTTTTTTATGTATCATAGGAAAGAATGATCTGTATAACCTATGCAAAAACTGGTCTAGAAGAGGTAAGAATTCAAGTCTGTACCAAAATGAGTTAATAAATGGATGGATCATTCATTCATTGTCAGGGGTCTTTTTCTCTTGAAATATATATTTAACCTAGAAATGAACTAAAATGCTGCCAAAAGCACTGTTTCAAATGATTTGGTTTTAATGCATGTACTTATCTCTTTCTCCAGCCATGAGTCATATGGCAAATTAATCTGGTCTATACAGGAATTTAACTCCTGTGCAATCATAATACTGCAGAATAATTCAAGCAAGATTTGAAGGTGGCTATATCTTTAACTCTACAGGTGAACTACAGGGACAATTTGCACTTAACAGAACTCTAAAACAACATGCCTTTTGTCTAAATCACACTCCAAAAAAGAAGATATATAAAATGTAATAAACAAAAGGTCACAAAAATACTAACAAATATATTTCTATTCCACTGGTCCTGCAAATATTTCAGCAAGATTAATAAAACTCCTTCTATTCTCTTCCTTATTTTCTTCTAGTGAGATCTGGGAATTACAGATCAGACAAAGGGGTCACATAAAGGCACCAAGAAGATTGAAAGGGATCCACAGCCTCCCACATGATTTCAGCCAGTAACATTATTATATTTTTTTCTAACCTAATACTAGCTATCAAATTATTATTTCCATTTATTTACTGAGTACATTTATATTACAGGAATGATAAGAAAATTAGCCCAGAAAAGGTTGACATAAAGAAATGTTAAACTTAAAGACATGACAAAGTTCCCATTCTATAAAAAGCTATGTTTGAACGTAATAATAGACTTTGTGCTGATGGAATTATCTTCCCTGAGCTTGGCAAAAAATTGTATTGAAAAAGATTAATCCTACTAGCTACTCCACAACTATATAACATTTTTTTTATTTAAACAACAGCCAGCTCTAAAATGCAAAATTCTGCTTGAATTGGAATTCAATAGTTGTACAAGGAACTTTTTGGTTGATGGTCAGGGTTGTTACAACAAACAATTCAACTCTAAACTCTTCCATATGTCATTTCTCTGTAACTAGATTTGAAACATTAGATTGGCATGAATATTGATTCACCTTAAATTATCAGATTAGCAGAGACAATACCATAACAAAATATATTTTCCTTTCATTAGCCTAAATTTATTGATTTACAATCTATTTCCATCCTGTAGCCTAAGCAAGATTTATTCATCTCTATACATTGGTACAGTTCAATCTTCAACATTCCTATTAATTTCCAGTGTTAACACATGTAAAAGTGACCCTTGCAACATTTTTTTTATCTCTCAATGTCCAACCAGATTCCTTTGGGATAATTCAATTCAAGCTATGGAAACATAATATTCTTCCACCATTGTTCCACTATAATTAGCATCTGGAGGAATCCAGGCCCTGTCCTGGAGGAAAGAATGAATGAATCTTCAAAACCAAAAAGTTTTGATAGTCCCATTGTCCCTGAATTGGGTTTTGGTCTGGCCTTGAGCCCAGAATGCCACATCACAGCCACCCGCTCAGGATATCACATCAGAAAACTCAGGAAATTACACCACAAGAACTCAAGAAGTTGCAACATAGCAAACAACCCAGGAAATCAAAGCACAAGACCAAGGATACCACAGCAATAAAACTCACAAGGTCATCACACAACCCATTACCCAAGCTGTTACTACACAGGAGGCTAATGGAAAAGAAATCAAAACACAAATGACCCAGGAGATTACAACGCAGGACCCAGGATACCACAACAAAAGAACTCGCAAGCCCATCACACAACCCATTACCCAAGCTGTTAAAACATGAGAGGCTAATGGAAAAAAGATCACTACAAAACAAATGACCCAGGAGATTACAGCACAAGATCCAGGATATCTCCACAACAAAACTCACAAGGCCATCACACAGCCCATTATACCAACATCAACTCCATCAACCAATCAAGAGGCAGCAGTGCAGCCAACCAGCCCAGCACACCAGCCCCCACCACCAGTATTTATAGAGAGACGGCAGCTCCGATCACACACTGCTTGCACTGGCACGAAGCCGAAAGCACCAGCCTGAGGATGGCGAGTGGGACCCCGCCGAAACGTCACCAAGATACTCTTAATCTTACACAGGAAAAGATCCGAACACACCTAGACTTACATATACATAGCTCAAAAAAATAAAGGGAACACAAAAATAAGACATCCTAGATCTGAATGAATGAAATATTCTTATTAAATACTTTGTTCGTTACATAGTTGAATGTGCTGACAACAAAATCACACAAAAATTATCAATGGAAATCAAATTTAGCAACTCATGGAGGTCTGGATTTGGAGTTACACTCAAAATTAAAGTGGAAAAACAGACTACAGGCTGATCCAACTTTGGTATAATGTCCTTAAAACAAGTCAAAATGAGGCTCAGTAGTGTGTGTGGCCTCCACGTGCCTGTATGACCTCCCTACAATGCCTGGGCATGCTCCTGATGAGGTGGTGGATGGTCTCCTGAGGGATCTCCTCCCACACCTGGACTAAAGCATCCCCCAACTCCTGGACAGTCTGTAGTGCAATGTGGCATTGGTGGATGGAGCGAGACATGATGTCCCAGATGTACTCAATTGGATTCAGGTCTGGGCCCAACCGCACCAGCATATGGGCTCACCATCAGCCAGAAAGCATAGGAATGTAGAAGTGGTCTGTGGTCACCACCTGCAGAACCACTCCTTTATTGGGGATGTCTTGCTAACTGCCTCTGCTTTCCACCTGTTGTCTATTCCATTTGCACAACAGCATGTGAAATTGATTGTCAATCAGTGTTGCTACCTAAGTGGACAGTTTGATTTCACAGAAGTGTGATTGACTTGGAGTTACACATTGCGTTGTTTAAGTGTTCCCTTTATTTTTTTGAGCAATGTATGTATATGTATATGTATATGTATATGTATATGTATATGTATATGTATATGTATATGTGTGTATACACACACACACACACACACACACACACACACACACTTTGTTCGGGTCCACAAAAACACACTGAGACATAATGGAGATCTAGAAGATGAACAGACCTATGGAACTGCTGTCTTGCCCTACATAAGAGGTACTACAGACAAAATCAGTAAGATACTACACAGGCATCACATCAAGACTGCCTTCAAAACAGACAGAAATATAGCAGCCATCCTAAGAAACCCCAAAGATAAAATTGACTTGGAAAACCAAGGCATATATGAAGTCCCCTGTGCATCATGCCCTGTCACATACATTGGACAGACCAATAGAAGAATAAGTACCCGCCTGGATGAACACAAAAATGCAGTGAAAAAGCTGGAAAACATTTCCTCATTAGTCCAACACATGAAAGCCACAGGTCATAGCATCGACTTCAATGGCACCAAAACCCTAGCCACTATAGAAAACCCCAGCTACAGAATTATCAAAGAAGCCATAGAGATTGAAAAAAGACCTGAAAGCATGAATAGAAGAGATGATTCCACCAGACTGTCAATTATCTGGAAGCCTGCACTCACAAACAAAAAAATCTCCACACCACAAGCCAAGCAAACACCTGGGCACAAATAGACCCCCCCCCCCGATACCTCCAGCTCAAACACACCCCAACCAGGCACCCAGATGAAACCTAGAGTCCTAATAAATGATAGCCGTCCATTTACTCAAAGCCAAGCTGCACTAAAAGCCTCCAATACAGGAAACACAATGTTGCCAGCCAATCAAGACAAAAACATGCTACAAAACAGACAGAAGATATTAGAAACACCAATCAAGCAGAACACAGCAAACTCCAAGACCAATAAACACAGACCAAGACTCCCAACCAATCAGGATGAAGAAAAAACCATTCTGGCACAGCAGTAGGCTAGCCCCAAATTTAAAACTGAAACGGTTGTGACAGTCTGACTCACAGACAAACACAATACAGAAGCCTGATGATGGCAGATGAGATTCTGCCGCAACGTTGCGACAACTTTAAAAGCACAACTATAATGACGTGGGAAAATACCCGAACAAAGCTGAATACCATACATACATACATACATACATACATACATACATACATACATACATACATATATTCACTTTTTCTCCACACTTATTTTTATTTGTTTTTATCTTTGTATCTATAAACATTAGTAAAAATATCATTAAAGAAAGAAAAACTTCTCAATTTCTACTTTGTCACTGTCATGTATGATTTTTATGGAACTCAATCCAGTTCTGTCTCCGTTGTGTTTTCTCCAAGCTGCAGAGTCCCAAATAAGAATAGAATGTATTTCAGGTCTTCTGCTCTTATCAATCTGTGGTAGTCATAAATGCGTAAGAATTATTTGAATTACTTCTGCCATGCATTTGTGTTCCTTTTGATAATCAGCAGTCGAGTGATTTGAAATATCTGAAATGGCCTTTGTAATTGCTATAGGCAATGAATGCTATCTGCTCCCTTTAGCAGAAAATATGGGTTGAAACTCTGCTCCCAAAAAGGAGAAACACTTAATGGTACTATCTCTCTGAACTATTTGATCCTGATTACCCTACTACTAAATAAGAGTAAATATACAATATTACTGGAAATTGCAGAATGTAGACATGGTACACAAAAGCAGATAGAATCAGAGAAACGCAACATTGAAAAAGATTCTGAAGATGATGTAGCCCAGCTCTCTCTTCTCTGCTACGGCAACCTTGACAGGTGGCTGTTCAGCCTCTGCTCACATAATTGGTAGCAAATGGTCCTCCATCTTCCCATGGTAGGCTGCTCCATTAGAAAATAGCCCTTCCATTAGGAAATGTAACTACCTTTCAAGAAAAGATTTGTCATGAATAAAGAGAACAACTTACCTCAATATAGCATTTTTCCCATCATTTCTTGTGCACCTCACCTGCCTTGTTTGATAACCAATTTCTATATCCCAAGCCCTGGAATTGTAGTGGGACCTAAATTTGTGAGAATGTTGCAAATTTTCAACCATTTCAAGCTTAAAAGTGCTTCGCTCTAATGAATCGGAACTGAAATCCAGAATAGTTCTCCCAACCATGTTAAGCTCTTTCAGATGAGGCAACTGGCATTTACTCCAAGGTCCAACTTTAAGACTGTAGGAATATTCCTCTTCCGCATGAGGACAAGACATGGAAACCTCACAGACCCTGGACTCAGTGAGATTTGGACATTTGCTTCCACCGTAGAGTGGAGGAGCAATAATAAAACGGGTTCTATGCTGTATACTTTTTCCACAATGTTTGCTACATTCAGACCAGGCAGAAAATTCGGATACGACACAATCTCGCGGGCAAGGTATTAGACAGGCTTGTTCCGTAGATGGCTGAGGAGTAAAATATCCACAAATCTCATTCGAAACCACTGTTCTATTCAACTTTTGTATGCATTGCACAGTTCTGTGTTGTAATCCATGCTGTGCAGTTACACACTCTGAAGTCCTCGGTTTGACTTCACCGTGGGCAAAAGGGACTAGAACGCATATGCTCCATTCTGAAACTTCCCACTCAAAGAGTTCAAGGTGCCAATCACATATTTTAAAGCAGCTCCTCTGGCATTCAGGTCTATCACTTTGTTCACAGTTTGAATGATGGGTTGTCCAGCCTTCTGAGTGTACACACCACACTACTCGGCTCTGAACACCACCTGAACCACAGTCACCAATACATCGTCCCCAGTGACCTAAAAAGAAAAGAAAGAATAAGAGATCTTAAGGTTGTTATTAAGGTTAACATCTGTTTTCATGATGAAACACACAGAAAAGTAGAACATATGATGAAACTATAGATCAGAGCCCAGTGGTCTAAGAACTGGTTCAATCTAGAACTAGCTTGGGTTCCTTCCTATTATGCCTGCAACTTTCCTAGTCAGAACTTTCAGAACTAGGAGGTGAATACTATAAGAGCTCAGAAGATGGAAAAGGGAACTTGTTTCTTATTTTGGAGGCTAAGAGAAGTTATATGCAAACACATTTATACTAATCATTCAGTTCCCTTTAAGGATGAATAATGTTTTTGCACATAGTAAAAAAAAAAAAAAACAATAAGTAGTAGTAAGCCAAAGGAAAAAAAGAGGAAGGGGGGTTAATTAATCTAAATTATATCAAACCAGTTATAAACTTTCAAGGAAGGGAGGGAGGGAGGGAGGAAGATTTATGATGCCCTCTGCCAGCTTCCCACAAGGAAAGTCAATGGGGAAGCCAGCAGGAAGTCGGAAGTCGGTCCTGCTCCCGCTTTTTTGCCCTTGGTCATTTTGTTTCTCTGTTTATGTAAATATCTCTGAAATAATGATCCAATGGGGGGGAGGTATGGGTTGTCTAGTATAGACATATAGTTGTAAATACTACTCTTGTATCTTCTAATAGCTCTTGTCACATTCTGCAATCAAGTCAACTCTGCAATGACTCATACCATAATCCAAACCTGTTCACTATTATAATCTTTCTCTACATCAATACACATACAATAAGCTTTCTTTCTCACACTCGTACATTTTTAAAAGATCTGTTAAACAGAGAAAGATCTACATACTACCTTCCCAGCATAAAAACCGTATTACACAAAATTTGCTATCACCTCTTATATACCTTCCTTTTTCAGCTATACTAATCCCTCATCATTTTTGCATTCATTCTTATTGTCTTTCCTTTGGCATGAAGGAACAATAATTCCAGTCATCAGTTATAGGTGCGGTCTTCAAACGTACTTTAGATAAATCATACATCCTCTCCTTAACAAAGCACATCCATATTTTAACATCTCTCAAATAAGTCTACATTTTATTTTCAGTCCTACCAATTTTCCATAATTTTCACAGCAACTCTGACTTTTTTCCCCTAACTTTTTTGTTTCTTGGAGACTTACAGGAGTCATTCACTATCATTCCAATATAAATCTCTAAAATAATCCTTCAAGCATTCCCTTTCTTCAGTTTCATCCCAAGTCATTTCATCACTTTGTTTCAGCCAAAGCACATTTTTAAAAGTCTTCATCAAAATCATCAATTTGCACTGCCACTTTAATCTTAACAATTCCTTGCCCTCTTTGACTGCATGCTTTGCTATTTTTCCCCCTATACGTACATTCAGCAAGATCTCTCGTCTTCATTTTTGCAACAATCATTTTCTTATGTGCATTTTTTCTTATATGCACCCTTTCACCTCATAATTCCTTCAAGCATCCTTTTTCATATTTCCCATTAGGATACTTGCACAAACTTATATAACATAATTATTTTTACTGTCTCCCCAGCAGTTTTCTATATGCATTCTATTGGGAAATTAATCTGTCCTTTCATGTAGGAATCACATTTTCTCTTCTTGTAGTCTACATTCAGTCTAGTTTTTTTCCCCTTTTCTTTTACGTTTCCAAGAAAATATTCTTGAATTTCCAGAAAATAGTTTGAACCACATCCAGAACCATCCAGGATTAAATATAGCAAGATGGGAACCAATGATTTGTAGACCAAATGGAACATAACCATGGTACAGATGTCTTTGTTATTCTGCCATTAAGCAGAATAACTTTTTCCCAAATCACATTCATTCAGTGTATTGCATAGTATCTCTCAAACTCATCCCTGTGTTTTCATCATCATCGTTCAAAGAAGCATAACATGAAACGGTCACCAAGCTGTAAATTCATACTTGTACACACCTTTTCTTTTACTTTATTTTGTTCATAATTCAACTTACACCTTTATTTCCTTGCACATATTTGTTAACTCCACTACACAAGATCAAATGACTCTTATTCAAACCTATTACACCATTTACATTTCTTTTTGTTTCACAATATTTTTTTCATTTCATTTCATTTATTAATTAAATTCTTTTCATGGTCCTCTTAAATTCAAACAAGCTTGAATTCACATGATAACTCTCTTAAGCAATAGTCATGCCAAGCTTACAAATACTAGTATAACCAAAGCTAAAAGTGAACTAATAGGAACCAAGTAAAAACTGTATTATAGTACATCATAAAAGTGAAACATTTAAAATTGATTTTTGTTATATAGTCTTGCTTCTTCATTTTTAAAGATTAAATCTCTATGTTTGGATAATGTATTTGTTTTCACAAATCATTTCCTTCAAATTCCCAAAAAAGTATGGTCCTACTGTTGGTAATAAGCTGCTGAATTCTGGCAGCAAACTATCTTGGGAAATTCCAAAAAGCATTTTTAGAAAAAGCATTAAGTATAAGGTACCCACATTCTTTAATTGTAAATTGTCCATCTTAGCTTAAGAGACTCAAAGTTAAACATGGAAATATTACAAGCTCCATGGATTATTGGTTCTAGCTTAATCTATCATTGGGTTCAAACTGGTTTGACTGCGACATCCTCACATTTCTTCCGAGTTCCCTTTAGACAAAACACAGTGATGAGTCTACCGATTGAGCAGAGAATATGTGCATATGTTGTATGTAAATCTACAGTACTGTATAGATTAGCTTTGATGGCTCACTTCAAAGAATATTAGAGCGTGTCCTTGAGAAATGTGATCTTAGTGGACAACCAGCTAAATATGAGCCAGCAGTGTGCAACAGCAGCCAAAAAAGCTAATGCAATCCTAAGTTGCATTAACAGAGGGATACAATCGAGATCAAGGGAGGTACTAATACCACTCTATAAAGTCTTAGTAAGACCACACCTACTGCATCCAGTTTTGGTCACCACACTATAAAAAAGATGTTGAGATTCTAGAAGTACAGAGAAGAGCAACCAGGATGATTAGGGGACTGGAGACTGAAACATATGAAGAATGATTACAGGAACTGGGCATGGCTAGTCTGGTGAAGAGAAGGACCAGGGGAGACATGATAGCAGTCTTCCAATATTTGAGGGGCTGCCACAGAGAGGAAGGGGGTCAAGCTATTTTCTAAAGCACCCGAAGACCAGACAAGGAATAATAGATGGAAACTGAACAAGGAGAGATTTAACCTGGAAATAAGAAAAAACTTTCTGACAGTGAGAACCACCAACCAATGGAACAGCTTACCCTCGGAAGTTGTGGGAGTGCCATCACTTGAGACTTTCAAGAAGAGATTGGATTGCCATCTGTCAGAAATGATGTAGGGTCTCCTGCTTGGGCAGGGGGTTGGACTAGATGACCTACAAGGTCGCTTCCAACTCTGATTATCTGTTATCTATTAATGTGTCAGATATTTCTACTTCCCTCACAAAATTAAGATTTTTAAACCACTTAGATTCCTGGTGTAGTTTTCCTAGACATTACAAGTAGTTAACTTATATCAGCTGTTAATGAAACATTAAACCAAAGATGACACATTCGGGCACCCTGCAGAAAACAGATCTAAGAGCCAAATGCTGCAATCTTATATCCACTTAACAGGAAATTAATTTCACTGAATTATTTTATTTCAAAATAGTTGCAGTTACAACCTAGGGAGATGCTGTTGACAAGCCCCATAAGTCAAAGAGTGTGAGTGTCCAAACATCTAACAGGTTTCAATTTTAAAAAATGACATTATTCCAAAGGAAACACACTCTTCCACAATTTAGATGAGTAATCTCTGTTGATGTTTCACTTTGGAGATATTCCAGCTCGATGTGAATTAAAAAAAAATAACTACAATCAGTTAAATTATAAAATTTAAATTAACTGCCTGCAATCAGACAAAATATAAAAGATATATCTAGCTATACCCACAACTGGGAAGAGTTTATTTTAATATTTTCAAGATATAAAAGTAGAATTGTTGCATTATCTTTTCCACTGTCTAATTTCATACTTAATTTCCAGCATCTGCAATTATAAGAAGGCAAGAGGCAAATATATACAAAACTCATATGAAAGCTTAAAAGAGCCTGGAGGAACATGAACGTTTCATATCAATTTACATACAAATGTTTTTTTTTAAAATGTAGAATGAATTGGAAATAAATTTGTACAGCAATAATCACTATGTTCAACAAAATTTTAAATGGATTAAGAAAATCATTTTCAAAGAAAAACAACCAAGTAAAATAAATACTGAACTATCTGAATAACTCTCAAAAGAAAATTTAAAAAGTGCTAAACATGTCTTCTATTTACAAGGAGTGAATCCCAAAGGTGCTTTTTCAGGAGGCAACTGGACTTTGTTTTTCTTTGAAGATGTTTCATTTCTCATCCAAGAAGCTTCCTCGGCTCTATCTGGAAGGTGGAGAAATGGAAGGATTTATATTCCATGCAGACAGCTGGTCATTTGCATTCTTTTAAAGAGTTGTTGAGGCCACTTGGAGGTTTATCTGTGTCCTCAGGATCACCTAAGTAATGCAAATGGGTGTGGAGCCTTTTTGGCTGAAGGATGTTTTCGGCCCTGTGTCCCTTCGCTGTGGTTGAGGGTGTTGGGAGATGAGTCTGTGACCTGGATGATTGAGAAGCTCCACAGACTTTTAGCTATGCACTTTGGGATGAACACCCTTCGAATGGTGTGGGATTATGAACAGATTTCCAAAAAAATTGCAGACAACAGGAACCATTTGCATTTCAGTTTGAGATGCAGACAACACAGACTCAACCCCAACAGTCTGCATCTGTCTTCAACAGTGAAGGGACACAGGGCAGAAAACACCCTGCAACCAAGAAAGCTCCACTCCCATTTGCACTACCAGGTGAACCTGATGACACATATAAACCTCCCAGTGGCCTCAACAACTCTCTAAAAGAATGCAAATGACCAGCTGTCTGCAAGGAATATAAATCCTTCCATTCCCCACCATCCAGTCAGAGCTGAAGAAGCTTCTTGGAGGAGAAGTGAAACTTCTTCAAAGAAAAAACAAGAAAATCCAGATGCCTCCTGAAAAAGGGACAACTATGATTTGGATGACTGAGAATCTCCATAGAATAAGGAGAGAAGCAACCTAGAACTAAGGAGGAATTTCCTGACCATAACAACAATTAACCAGTGGAATGGCTTGCCTTCAGAAGTTGTGGGTGATCCATCATTGGAGTATTTTAAGAAGCGACTGGATAGCCACTTATCTGAAATGTTATAGAGCATTCAGTTTGGGCAGGAGGTTGGATTAGAAGACCTGAGATGGGTAGACTTCAACTTAGCATGGATGACTGGAGAATTCTGGAAGTTACAAGTTACATAATGGCACATATAAGTAAAATCCTATGTGATTATTATCCAATTGTTAATGGCCTGGTCTCTCTCTCTCTCCCCCTCCCTCCCTCTCCCCCCCACACACAATGTATATTTGTATGGGCATGCATATAACCATATAATACTCCATATTTAATAAGTTGCACAATTCTTTTATTCAAGTACCTATGTTATTTTTAAAAATGTATCCCATTTGAATGTGTTTAACATGAAAAGTAAAAGCCAATACTATAAAATCCATACACTAAAGAAAAGTAAAGAACAAACACAGTGTTTTTTCTTTACTATGTTTTCTAAGCTCTGTGTGTGTGTGTGTTGTGTGTGTGTGTGTGTGTGAGAGAGAGAGAGAGAGAGAGAGAAAGAGAGAGAGAGAGAGAGAGAGAGATATTTTTTCAATTTTTGGAAGGTATAAATTGTAAAACTGGCACTAAAGCCAGTCAAAAACTAAATAGCAATTTGTGCTAAAAACAACTTGGATTCATTTCATTTTACAGAGTTATTCTTAACATCCCTGTTGTTTTCAGTATCCAGCAATAGTTATAAAAATATTTGCCAATGTAATATTACTATGAAAATCCATTGCAGCCGATCTGTTATTATATAGTTATTTAATTCTAGACGTTATAGTCCAATTGCATCTAGGCTAGTAAAAGATAGTTGTTTGGATCCTCTCTCTCTCCTTCCCCCTCCCTCCCTCTCTCTCTCCCTCTTCCTCCCTCCCTCCCTCCCCCCTCTCTCTCCCTCTCCCCCTCCCTCTCTCTCTCTCCCTCCCTCCCCTCCATCTCTCCCTCTCCCCCTCCCTCCTTCCCTTTCTCCCTCCTTCCCCTTCTCTTTCCCTCTCCCCCTCCCTCCCTCTCTCTCTCTCCCTCCCTCTCTC